CTTTAAGACCCCAGATGCTATATCTTTTGATAGCCAGGCACCATCAGCTTTCTTTGCCACATTTGCTTATGCACCCATTTGTCTTCAGCAATCATTATCACGGAGGTGAGCACACGATATAATTTTTTGTTCTTTGATGCCTGATAACTGATCCCTTTATCTCCTCGTGATCACGTAGGCTGGTGTGCTTCTTCCATGTAGGCTTTGTTGCCTCTGAGCTAGATGGCTGCTTGTTTACCTTCAAGTCATTAAGACCCCAGACGCTGTATCTTTTGGTAGCTTGCTTCGCCACATTTACTTATGCACCCATTTGTCTTCATCGATCATATCAGGGAGGTGCGCACACAATACGATTTTTTGTTCTTTGATGCCTGATAAATGATCCCTTTAGCACCTTGTGTTCACGCAGGCTGGTGTGCTTCTTCCTTGTGGGCTTTGTTGCTTCTCAGCTAGAAGGTTGCCTGTTTACCTTCAAGAACCCAGACGCTCTTGTCTTGTGACAGGCGGGCACCATCAGATTTCTTCACATTTGCTTATTCACCTGCTTTGTCTTCAGCGGTTGTGTCGGAAGGTGAGCATCACAGAATGCCAATTTAATAGAAGTATTCTTGCATTGAAGGAGTACTTGAGGCCCAATGTCCTTCTGCTGTCTTAATACTGAACCTATAAATATATGCATAGATCTATTTCCCCATCCTCATATATATATATTTGCATACATACATGCCTGTATTTAGACCTCTATAAAAGCCCTTTGCCTCCTAGCTCTTTCCTCTATTTCCTTTGACTTCACTCTTGTCCCACTATCATGCTCAGTCTTCATTTGGGTTTCAGTAATTCCTCTTGGTTACATTACCCTAGATCACGCTCTACCAGGCCTCCTATACCCTCCTCACCACCAATTTGGATCCCTTGTTCTCTTGTGCCTGGATTTGTTGACACCACTACCTTTCCCCCCACCTCCCCCTCTCCTATGTCCCCCCGGAACTGTCGGTCCCATTGTTTTCTCCTCCCGATTGTTCATCCAGC